GCTGAACCTGCACACAGTCTAAAAATACAGCTCAGAGACACAAACTGCCTCTCTTATTCTAATCCAGATTTGCAAATAACAGAATTCATTGACCATGGAATTTAGCTTCTTTCAGTTCACTGCAGAATTTGATTTTTGATTGGCATGAAAATGAAGTGTGTTTCAGGCTCTGCTTTCTGTACTGTTAAACTAGAGGCAAGCAGCAGTGCACACATAACTACTTTTGTTTGCTTCTCTCTCCTTCCCTCAGCTATGGATTTGCTATTGCTTGCTAGAAAGTTTCAGAAGAATGCGCCACAATACTTGTCAGCTGCCATAACAGTAAAAAGTTTGTAGATTAGCTGGCAGGGGACACTGGAATGGCATATAATCCTGTTGGGATATCAAGTAGACATCTCTAGAATGACAAATTCACAAAATCAGAAGATCATTTTATTAAAATTGCAAAATTATAAAAAAGGCTATTGGAACAGCACAGCTCATGAAACTGAAGAGTGAAAGCTATCAACCCTTGTAAATAAAATTACAGAAACACTAGTAGTTCTCAGATGTCATTGCTACGTTGTGATCTGCTGCCCAGTTAACTCGAAGCAATTCTCTTCTTCAAAGGAAAGTACCTGAAACACCGCAAATATTTGACTAACTGCTTATGTCAAAAAAGGATAACAATATTTGTATTTTGTGTAAAATTAATGCAATCTCTCCAAAATTTATCTCATAATCATTTATATACGATACCTTCTTAACTTCTAAAGCACATTCCATCAATGCTTTCACACTTCCAACTTCACGTAGAGTCTTTTTACTGTTTACATCTGCTCGCCAGGACAAGTTCCTCAAAACACTTGCAATGACCTGCAAAACATGAAAGAAAAATAATGTATCTCAAAATAGCTACTCCTTTAGTAGGCTATCAGCATTTCCTCCTGGATTTCTGGAACACTAGAATTCATTAACAGTGGCAATGTTCAGTTGCTGAACTAGCTTTTTTGCTGAAATTCACTTTTTGTTCTATTGCCAGCTAGACTGTCCTAAGATTTCAGTATGAAGTTTGATCAAAGGTACTGGCTTTTATGTATAAAATAAATAAAGATTTGAAAGCAGGTTCCCTGCTTTCCACACTGCCTGAAAAATTGGACCAAAAACTCAGATTTGTGCTCTGCTCTGATGTCTGCTGTAGACTTATTATGCAGTCTCAGGAGAGAGATTTATATAATCTTTTTCCTCAGCTTTTCCACTTGTAAAATAGGACAATCATACTAACCTGTCCCTCATATAAAAATAACTCATGGAGAGGCCAAATGAGTGGAAAGAAAGGGAAGCAGAAATATAAAATTTTAATACTCAATGAAATTGAAGGGATGCAAGATGATGGAAATGTGCAAGCCAAGGAAATATTTAATCTCAAAAGGATGAAGTACCTGCTGCAAGTCTTCACTTTCAGACTTCAATTGGGCTACAAGAGCTCTCATGCAGTCCTTCATAGAACATAATGTAGCCTATTAGGAATCAGGAGAAAAAAGAAAATAAAGAGAGTATTAAATGACACATTAGGTGGCTTGATTCTTTGATATTTTAAGCTATTCATCTCTGAAGTTCAAAAAACCTTAGTAAAATGTTTCCAGTAACAGATATTTGATCTACAGTTATTAAAATGTTAAGCATAAATATCAGTTTCTATTCTGGGAAATACATAAGTGGTGAAATTGTGCTAAATTTTATACTTTTGACAACAAGTCTAGGACCAAATCTGGAACACTAATAGTTTAGAAGCCTTCTTCACTATGTCCCAGATATGAAACTGGACACTCACCTGTAAGTTGGAGATGTGTTGTTACCTGATGTCTATTGAGTCTCAAATCATACTTTTTCTTTCAAATATACATAATATGAAAATATGACAATTTAAAACTGACACAAATACAACAATATTCCCGACTTCTTGAAGACCAAATTACTTTTTAAGAATACACTAGTAATTGAAAAACTGTAAGGCTTACATTAGAAAATGTTTGTGACAAAGCACAATTAAAAATTCTTCAAAAACAAAAGTATGTTAGAAATGCATTATTCATTAGCTGGATAATACATACATTTACATCACTGAATAGGTTTCTTTGTGCTATAAACCCAATAACTGCAGCCTTGCAGCAATTACTGATTTTAAGAGGCAGTATTTTGTGAAGCACTTCATTTGTAGGAGGGATTTGTTTCACTCTGTTTAAAACTGGGAACAAAAAGTGATTAGTATGAAATCTGGTTTTATTTTTGCAGAATCACAGAATGGTTGAGGTTGGAAGGGATCTCCAGAGGTCATCTGGTCCAACCCCCCTGCTCAAGCAGAGCCACCTGGAGCCAGTTGCCCAAGACCATATCCAGATGGCTTTTGAATAACTCCAAGGAGAGAGACTCCATAACCTCTCTGGGCAACCTGTGCCAGTGCTTGGGCACCCTCACAGTGAAAAAGTGTTTCGTGATGTTCAGACAGAACCTCCTGTGTTTCCGTTTGTGCTGTCCTGTCCCTGGACACCACTGAAAAGAGCCTGGCTCTGTCTTCTTTGCACCCTCCCTTCAGGTATTTATATACATTGATGAGATCCCCCCCTCAACCTTCTCTTCTCCAGGCTAAAGAGTCCCAGCCCCCCGCCTGGTGCAGAACAGGATTATACGGCTAGTTACTGGCCTGCAACCAGAATTCGCGCGACTGATCAGCACCCTCTGGG